CGCGGCAGACGAGGGTCAGTGACCCCCCCGTGGCCGGAGGTCACCGCCGGACCCCAACAGGGTCACGGCCACCCGGAGCCCTGCGGGGAGAAATGGGGAGAAAATCAGGGGATTCGGGGAAAATGGGGATCTCGGTGAGCACTGGGAGGGGCTGGGGGTGGGTGTGGCCGAGGGTGGGGCATGGTAACTCTATATCCTGCCCTGATTGGCTCAGAGAGGGAGGTCAGGCTGCTAATTAATGAAATTAATTAAGTGAATGAGCAGAGGTTCATCTCTGCCGGTTCTGTGGCTGCCATTGGCCACATGGCCCTCGTTTGGGGACAATGGCCGGGATTTGGGGACAATGGCCATGGTTTGGGGACAATGGTCGGGTCCCATTCCCCACCCCCATCTCCCCATTTCTCCCCGCAGGGCTCCGGGCGGCCGTGACCCTGTTGGGGTCCGGTGGTGACCTCCGGCCACGGGGGGGGTCACTGACCCTCGTCTGCTGTGGCTACGGATTCGATTTCGGGACATTCGGGATGGGCTGGTATCGCCAGGGACACGGGAAGGGATTGGAATATCTCGGCAGCATCAACAATGTTGGCAGCACCGACTACGCGCCATCGGTCAAGGGCCGAGTGACCATCGCCAGGGACAACGGGCAGAGCTCGGTGACGCTGACCATGAGTGACCTCAGGGACGGCGATTCCGGCTCCTATTTCTGCGCCAAATCTGGTGATACTGATACTGGTGCTGCTGCTGTTATTGGCTGCACCCACCCCAATCACTCTCCCCAATCCCCGCCCGTCCCCCAATCACACCCCTGACCCCATTCCTGACCCTTTGTCCCAACCCCACCCCAGCTCAGCAAAGTGCCCAAAATGGCCAAACCTGGGTTTATCTCCCCAAAATGGCGCCGCTCACCATGTGCTGAAATTGACCACTGGGGCAGAGGAGCCATCACCACGGTGTCCAGCGTTGAGTCCCGACCCCAAAATCGCTGCTTTTCACCCCAAAATTTCCTCCCTTTTAATCCCTCAAAAATCCGGCACATCTTTTGTGAAAATTGGTGGGAAAATCTGGGCATTTATCGGGAAAATGTGGGCATTTGGCGGCAAATTGTGGGGATTTGGAGGGAAAATCCAGGCCACACCCAGGGCTCTGCCGGACCCCGCCCAGGCCGAGATTTGGGGCAGAACCGCGGGAGTTTTGGGGACAGG